AGTTGGGGGCAATATGCTGACGGGTCACAGTTGGGGGCAATATGCTGACTCTGTAAACCGCTTAGAGAGGGCTTTCAGCCCTATGAAGCAGTATATAAGTCTAACTGCTATTGCTATCTCGGCAAATACATTTTAGAAAAGGCATTTAACAAACAAGAGCCTGCCTAATGAAAAGCCAGCAAAATAAAGGTAACACAGCCTAGAAGGAATAATTTATTCCTTCCCCTACAGGGAATATCTGCAAGTGCAGGTATGTTTAGCTTAAAGAAGACAGGCTGTGGAGAGATATTATAGCTATCCTGCAGAAGATGGGCTAGAACAGAGGTGCATAAATCTGACCTGTGGGACCAGCCTGGAAATAGCAAATGCCCGGCCCTTGGTGCCTCTGGCAGCCAAAATGGGGCACCGTGGGGGGGGGAATGCGCATCCTCCCCTGCGCCCCGTTTTGGCCAGCAGGGTGCTGCTGGAGGCGTTCCTCCTGTTTCCCCCACCTGGCAGACCCAGGGAGAACTGCAATGCTGATCCAGCCCTCGAAGAAATCCAGTTTGACACCCCTGGGCTAGAATAATCCAGGGTTCCTTTTTTCAGAAGAAGAAACCACAAACAAACCGTTTAAATGAAGTAGATTTTGGTTGGGATAACTGAAAATGTTTCCTTTCGTTCCAGCTTTAGAAGAATGCCTTGAAGGATGCGGGATTTTCCTACAGCGGAGGTGTTTCAGCCATCTGTCAGGATGCTGTAATAGTGGATTCTTGCAGCAGGAGGATTTGGACTAAGTAATCTTTGGTATCTCTGCCAACCCTTGTCTTTGATGAATCTAGAATCTAGGGGAGAACCAATGGCACTCCCTTCTCCCAGGAAGAAGATCGCAGTGAGATTAGCATGCTTTCTTCTCTGTAGAACAGGGGTGTCAAACTCAAGGTCCGCAGGCCGATGCGGCCCGCTTAGATCTGGCCTGCAGGGCTACCCGGAAACAGCGAAGTACTGGCCCGCAGTGCCTCTGCCAGTGAAAACAGAGCTTGGGAGGACTGCGCATGGCCCTCCCGAGCTCAGTTTTTGCTGGCAGAGGGCCCGGCCGAAAATGGGGGGGGGGGCTGTACATGGCCTCCCAAGCTCCATTTTCACTGGCAGAGGGCTGCAAGAGGCTATCCTGGCCGAAAACAGGGCCCGGGAGGGCGAACTCTGTTTTCTGCTGGCACAGGGCCACCCTGGCCATGCTCACCCGGCCCTCCCGAGATCAAACATAACCCTGATGTGGCCCTCAATGAAATCGAGTCTTACACCCCTGATGTAGAATAAAGAAGCAGAGAACATCTTTCACCGTCTGCCAGAAAGAACATTGAAGTGAAGCAAATATCAATAACGTGTTGCACCTATGTGTCTAATTTTCACGGAGATATCTTTCTTTTTCAACGGAAAAAGCATGCATTTTTTTTGATAGCAATAAAAAAATAAGCTTGCCAACTTTCTCAGTTGTCTCCCATCCACCTGGTAACCAGTTCTTACTGTGCTTAGCTTGGCATCCCCAAGGCTGTTTATGCTAATTATCTGTTGTAGTTTAGCTAGAGAAAATGAATAATAAGGTGGAAATTCAAGCATTTATTTACCTGTGGACTTATTAGAAGCCCTCCGACGAATTTCAGTTACCATTAATCGTGACACTTGTGTTGTGAACTGAAGGAGATCAGAAAACTTTTCTATCATCGTACTTGGAGGAGCGTTTCCAAATACCTGGAGAGAGATGAAAAATGGCTAAATAACATGCATAAATCAAAGTTGACATTAACATGACACAAATAGGAAAATGTGCAGTTTAACAACATGGTTTTAGCATTGTTATTGAAAAATTCCAATTAATGAGCTGTGGTGGCGGAGTGGTTAGAATGCAGTATTGAAGGATGACTCTGCTCGCTGCCAGGAGTTCGATCCTGACCAACTCAGCCTTCCACCCTTCCAAGGTCAGTAAAATGAGGACCCAGATTGTTGGGGGCAATAGGTTGACTCTGTAAACTGCTTAGAGAGAGCTGTAAAGCACTATGGAGTGATGTATAAATCTCCACACTATTGCTAATGAAAGATTTTTTTGCTATGTTCCAAAGTCACGGGGATAATCCCTAAACTTCAATACACAAAATTAGAGCCTTGTTTTGTATTATAGACCATGATTTCTTTCTGTCACTGTGTTCTGGTGACTTTTTATGTTTTCTTCACCTCCTTTTTCATTTTAAGATCCTCAGAGTTATAAGACAGTCGGTGACCTTGAAATTTGAATGAATTATTAAATAAATAATGACCCAATGAAAAATAGCCACATGTATAAAAGCTTTCCTTTAATCCCTTTCTAAATATTGTCTGGGGTAAAAGGAGAGAAATCTGAGAATTGTAAGTAAACAAAGAGAGAAGAAAAAATTTGGCAACCTTTTTGCTATTATTTTTCTGTAACAATTAGGGCTTTCTTGTTCTTGTTTTTTTCCCCTAAATTCTTCAGCAAAGGTGACCTGTTTTATATTATTACTCTCTATTAGATCCCCTAGATCTGAGAAAAAGTGTATCATTGATGTTACTTGCACAGCTAAGAGCCAAAAGAATTTTTCCTTATGAGCTTAAGATGTCTTCATTTATTTATTTGACGTATGTAGCCACGACCTCAAAACCCTGGGCATCTCATCAACAACTATTAATTGGAGGGGCGGGGAGAATAGCAATAGCAATAGCAGTTAGACTTATATACCGCTTCATAGGGCTTTCAGCCCTCTCTAAGCGGTTTACAGAGTCAGCATATTGCCCCCAACAACAATCCGGGTCCTCAGAGAAAACCCTCTGCCAATTAATAGTTGTTGATGAGATGCCCAGGGTTTTGAGGTCGTGGCT